ACAACTTCACGGAAGATCGGAGTACCCCCTCCGTTAGTCGGCAGTCCAGGGTACTGTGTGTCAGAGTGGATCGCAACGTGAATTTGCGACCCCCACTCCACCACACCTTTGCCTCCCGCGAGGTGCTGCGCGCCTTGGTTGTCCTCCAGAGCGACGATTTTACCAATCTTGATTCGCAAATCTTTCAACACCATCATGAGCCTGATACATTCCTGCACTCCACTTGCCATAACAATGTATTCTGATTCAGTCGACGATAGCGTTACCATTGTCTGTTTCTTGGAGCCCCAACCAACCAGATTGCCATTGAAGTGGATAGCGTAACCAGTGGATGACTTGCACTCCCTCTCAACAGCGAATGCAGCATCACAGAAGACCATGAGACCTTTATGCTTGGTGGATTTTGCACCGCTAAACGTCAGTCCAAAATCATGCGTACTGTTCAGGTACCGAAATGCACGATCAATCCCGTTTTGCACAGCTGCCGTTGGAGTCTCGGTTTCTTGGGCCAGCAATCGCACAGTGGTGGACCGATCTGGTCTCGTTAGTACTGCTAAGTACAGTAAAGCACCGAGTGCCGGTCGAGGTTTGAAGCCACACAACTCCTGCGCTTGGAACAGCTTGTTCGGGTAGTGTTCTTCCATTGGAGTTGGCGAAGGTCGGCACTTGATCATTGCGAACCTTTCTAGTACATTGGACGCGTACTTAGCCTGACAAACGCTCACTTTATCGCCAGCCGGAGATCATTGAAGCTCCAGTACTAAAAAGTAGTTAACTTCTGCAAAATGGTTCACATCGTAGGCATTTTCCACGGCGAGCTTGAATGCTGCCAATGCTATGTCATCCGTGCCGAATACTAACACGTCATCGACGTAAACTAGCACAATCATCAGCTTGCCACCGTCAATCTTCACGAACAAACACGCGTCAGCTTTGCCTTGAGTAAACCCACAGCTGATGAGAAAAGCTGTCAAGTTTTCGTGCCATGCCCTCGATGCTTGTTTTAAACCATACAACGCGCAACGGAGAATCCAGACGTAGTCATCAGTGTTTTCGTATCCTTCCACCGGTTCCAGGTAAATTTCCTCTTGCAACTTTGAGTTCAGAAAAGCGGTTTTAATATCGAGATGTAGTCGCTTCATGCAACGCTCTACCCCTACAGCCCAGTCGTATCGTGCTGTGACATTATCGGGCTGAACGTTTCTGTATAGTCGTCACCAAATCGTTGACTGAAGCCTTTTGCGACCACTCTATCCTTGAACTTGTCAAGACTGCCGTCAGGATTGGTTTTCTTCTTGAAGACCCATTTGGACTTGATCGCTTTGCGACCTGTAGGTAGCGGTACCTCCACAATAGTCTCGTTCTCGATCAGACGCTGGATTTCTTCTTCCATTGCTTGTTCCCACTCATTTCGATCGTCACTGCGACGCACTTCGAAGACGTTAATTGGATCAACAGCAAGGACACACTGCTCCACATCACTCGGAGCGATAAGTCTGTACACAAAGCCGTCAGCCACATTTGTGCCACCATGTCACGTGTTCTTCGATGTGTATCGCAAATCTCAGCCAGCGACATATGCCATTCTTCGTAGTCAAGACGTCGCTGACTTGGCTTCGACAACCTAGTTGGTCGGCGAACAGGTGGCATTGCCTTCTCCAGGCGCGGATCACCTTGTAAGCGTGCCTGAAGGCGTGCAGCTCCCACTGGTTCTGAGCCCGTCGTAGGCTGATAGGGCGTCTCGAGCTTCTCCGGGGTCATGACCGCGTCTTCTTTCTCCTCAGTAATATGCTCCAATCGCAATTACCGCTCGGTACGATCCACTAAATCAACCTGTACGGTATCCAGTTGTGTATTGATCGTGACTTCATCCTTGTCAGCTGGAGGAAGAAATTGATTCTCGTACTACTGTTCGAGCTGTAATTGTTTCGCCAGTTCCGTGTTGTCGAATATGCACCAGGTAATCGTCACCTGTAGCATACCCCACGAATATCCCATTTCGCGTCTTGGCATCTAGTTTTCTGCGGTGCTCCTTAGGAACCAAGGCCTGGGCCTTGCATCCAAAGATGCGTAATGTACTGATGTCAGGCGGCGTGCCGAGTAGCGCCTCTCTTGGCGTTTTACCATCTAGCACCCTTTTCCGAACATACGCCGCACATGTAACGGCATCAGCCCAGTACGCCACTGGTAGGTTTGCTCCCAGCATCATTGAGCGAGCCATTTCCACAATCACACGATTTCCGCGCTCCACCTTGCCATTCTGTTGAGGGCTGTAAGGTGTTGAGAACTCCTGTACAATCTCGTGCTCATCGCAGAACGCAGCAAACCCGCCACCTATGTATTCAGCTGCATTGTCAGATTTGAGAAACACTACGCGATAGCTTGGGGCGTAGGCTTTTAGCTTGGCGATGCAGTCCTTTACAGCGTCTAGCTGTGCACGAGAGCTCGTTTCTCGAAGTGGATTTACCATTTCCTGGCGAGACGGTCCCACTACAATAATTGCTATACCAGTGTATCCATCACAAGCCGTCACCTGCATCGGACCGACATACAGTAGCACTAGATTCTTCTTTAGCACTCGTCTTGGTTTGTCGGCGAAGGGCTTCCGGGTCAATTCCCCGCTGACGCACGTCGGGCAAAACTGCTCAATAGCCCCATGCGACGGTAGCTTCAGGTCTTCCAGTAAAGTCTGCACACTGTGCGTGTTGAGATGTCCGAGTCGACGGTGCCATGTCTCAATGTGCGGTGCATCAGCTGCCATTAATACAGTGTGTTTTTCAGCTTCACTCATCGCTTCCACCACGTACATTGGCTGATTATTTCGTGATGCCAGCAAAGTAACTCCATCTGGCGAGGAAATCGTGCATGATGTATCCTTGAACTCAATTGTCATTCCACGCCGCGACGCAGCCGCAACCGACACTAGATTTCTTGCTAGGCCCTTGACAAAGAGAGCATCTTGTAGAACACAGACTTCTCGACCGCTCTTAAGGAGTGGTGCTTTTCCGACTGCCGTCGCGACCAGCTTGTCACCTGACGCCACCGTCAGCACCCGGGGTTCTTCCAACGTGTGTACATCAATTAAAGTGCCCAGATGACCAGTCATATGGCTCGTAGCGCCACTGACCACATTCCAACCCCGCTTGTTTTCTTCTGCCATATCAGCCACGGTGAATGCCAAACTGGCGGCTTCCGCTGACTGTAACACTCGTGCGTTCTTGCAGTTCCGGACAAAATCTCCCATCTTGTTACAATTGAAGCACTTCACTTTGGTCATGTCCCTCTTTTTCTTGAACTGGAATCCTTTCTGCGTACCCGGTGTTTGCTCAGCACTGAATGCAGCAGCTGCTTTGTCACTGTTAGACACAGGGCTTGAGCGTCGAATCTTCTGTTGATCACGCCGGATTGCTTCAGCATGGCAACGTTGTATCATTAATTCCAACATTACACACGATTCAAGCACACCAACGAAGCCTTTCCATGCAGGTCCTAGACTCTACATAAAGCTCTGGCGCTTTTCATCGTCAGAAATCAGTACTTGCTGCTTCTGCAGCTCATCGAGAACACGCCTTGTATTTTGGATGTGCTCGATAATCGACTCGTCCCCATCTAGGTAGAGCCCAATGTACTCCCACTTGACCGCACCAACATTGGCGCTGCACTTGACATTGTAGGTTATACGCAAGTGCTGCAGCATAGCCAACGAATGATCGAGTAGATAAACCTCAGCAGCCAATTTCTCACGCAGTGCTGCGAGAATGATGGTTGAGGCCATTTTCTGCTTCATTAAGCAGTCGAGCAGCGGTGTAGTCGACACCGCAGCAGACACCGTCCCAGACGGCAATGGCGTCCCCGACGTCGATGACGTTCCAGCTCCTGCTGCAACCGCAGCATCTCGTTCAGCCTTAAGATCGAGGTCGGTGGGTCTGGGCAATTGAATTGCATCCCATAATCCCTTGATCTCACGAACTTGCTTCACCTGAGCACACCACGCTGGGGAACCCGGTTCCACTGAACTGCTTCAGTTTCGTCGTGAAGTTCGAAGCCGTTGTCGTTGACATCATAACCTGTTGGAAAGGTGTTGTAGAGGAAGTAGGCGTCGAAGAGGACGAAGTGAGGCCGGGAAGGAAAGTCGAAAAGTGATTGATGTATGGCTTAGCTTAAAAACCAAAAACAGAAACTTGGTGCAATCATCATGAACCTGCACTCCCTTACCTGTACCCAAGACGACACTCTTGGAAGCCCCACGTTGCTGCTCATTGGATCTCCTTTGATGGCCCGAGGTTGATGCGTGACCAGTGTGAACTTCAACATTCTTGTACAACCCGACATTTGTCGCCTTGTGTTGCCTTAGAAGGCACTATAGACTACAGTGAAATCAGCTCTGGGAATGTTCGTCGCTTATTGCTGCAAACCCAACAAGCTTGTCACCAGTAGCTGTGGTGGTTGTTGTAGTTGTAGGTAAAATTGGGACTGAGTGTATTCGTTTTTTTTTAGCTGGCCTTCTTGCTAAAGACCTAGTGCTAGTGATGGCTGGCGGACATTCGCTGGTGCTTATCCCGCCAAGCCCTTGGGCACTTTTTGCAGTGGACGTTCCACTTTGGTGCGCGCCGCAGATTTCCAGTCTGTTGACACAGCTGACGCCAAAGTGTAGATTGTCTACTCTTTGTCTACCGTAGACAATCTGAATGAACACCCCCAGACCACCAGTGTCACCCCAGCATTCATCGAATAACTAGACGGCGAGCATAACAGAAAAACAAATGTACTGTTGCTGCCAGGGATGCATGGCTACCGACGAGCGCCAAGTGTCAAACTCCAAGACGGTGTTGTTGTCAATAGTCGTGGGCTTCAAACGGCCCATGTACGATGGAATCCAAGGGATATGTGATGCTGAGAACGTATTGCACGCCTGGACATTGTCGCCACGCGTTGGCCTTAAAGTCTAAACTGCCAGGTTTGGCAAATCCCAACCTCCACTTTCAGCGTGTAAAACCCGCCTCAGGCAAAACGATGTGGAACCACTACTACAGCAAGGTCGTTGCGAGGGCCAAAGCTGGTGTCTGGCTCAAGAGGCTGTAATAGGGCGGCAACGTCGGCACGCAAAAAGTCCTCAAGGTTTCCAATGAAACTCGCCCCTCTAGACACCAGGTGGTTCTGACCAGTTCTGGCTGCATTTATCATCGCGTCCACGATGCCTGAAACTACGTTTTTTGGGCAGAATACTCGGCAACGCGACAATGAGGATCGCATCGTCGAGCCACACCTTCCAACGCGACCGCATCGCTAGCTGCTCGGACTGGTTCCAGTCGGCTTGGGTGGCATCGCACAGCCCGAACGTGACCCCGTCGCTGCCGTCCGGGGGGGGGGGGTCAGCGAATTCTCAACTTGGCTCCGGTCGAGACGGCGGATAGCGCCGTTGATTCGACGCACTATCATGTTTCTCATCGGAAGTGCTTATTTTGTGGGCCAAACCTTACCATACATTTTGTCGCTCGCCCAGACGTGAGAGAAAAAGAAAGCACGTAGGCATTGTTAATAACTTATCTAGTCCAAATTGATACAAAAGATAGAAGAAAATCATATTTTGTTCTAGAAAATTGGTACACCTCTGCATATTGGATAAAACACACACACACACATACATATACACATTTTAACTTTGGTCTTGCCGCTTTTCCACTTCGATAATGCCTCGACTTTTCCTGCTACAGTGAAATGCGGTAGCGACCTGTACCAGTGAAGCTGTCATTAAGAAAAACTGTCCTCATATTAAGATGGCAAAGAGGTTTTGTGCGCTCAGGCTTACCACATCGACCAGTTATTCTCCTGCCCAGTGATTGGTTCACTCACGGTTCACCAAGCTAGACAAATGCATCCAGTATTCGTAC